TGATGGAAAGTGGTCATGGGAGACAATAATTACTTACAATTAGTAAGTAAAACTCATATATAAGGTTATGACTTTTTTTTCTTACCCTATGTTCTTGTGTCCTAAATTGATTAATTTCTGTCCAAAAGTAATGAAAAGGGCATTAATTTGTTTTAGATCTTGAAAAAGGTCACCCTCAAACAAAAAATTCTGTAACTATATATGCAATAAGGGTAAAAAAAAAAAAAAAATCAAATCATATTTCAGAAGTTTTATTTTTCAATTTTCTATGAATGTAATTGGATAGTACTTATATAGTTTTGAAATATTTATCAGTTTATAGCTATAACATAATGTCCAAAGTTAGAAATAAAAAAACAAAAAAATGTTCTAGAAGGTTCCAGTGAGTCATAGTACTACTATACTTATATATGATTTTACAAATTTGGAGGTGACATTTGTTAAAAAAAAAAATAAAATAATCTGTTTCTCTTCATTAGTTTCTAAGTTCAGTGAATTATACAAAAACATCTAACCCTACCACACACACATATATAAAATGTGTGTGTGAAAGGCATTAAGTGCTTTAGGAATTGTCTATTTTAGTTTTCAAATTTACTATTAGAGTGTTTAATATCAGAAACAAAGTATATACAGAAAGTGTGAACATACAGTGTTAATTCCTTAGTTTTACAGTTCAGTGTGATCCTCAAACCCTATATACATAAATAAAAAAAATGTTTATATAGTGATCAGCACTTCTGTCAAAATTCTGAGTATCTTATCTGTACATTCTTTGAAAAGTGTTATTCATATTGGTATGTCAGACACATAAAATTACAGAATCTGTGCCTGAAACTATATCTTGGAACAGGCATTTATTTTAAAGAAAAGGTATTATAACAATTCTTTTACACACATTACCAGTTATAAAAGCTAATTTGCACAAAATAGGACTATGACTTCCATGTTACAAGGTTATCCTTGGAAATCATAAAAGGATTTTATTGAAAAACAAGTAGAAGGAACACTTGTGATCCCTTGTATTTTCATATGAAACAGTGGTTAAATTGTTGGAATGGATGCCTTTCATTCATAGGTAGATTTAACAACGATGAGAGACTTCTATATGTTGGCATTTCTTTATTAAATAAAAAATATATATTTAATGCATGTGCATAAAGTCTTTCTTGTACAGTCTTTAACATTATCAAAAATTTCCTCTTAAATGTATTGATACTAGAAAAGAATCATTGACAATACTCTTAGTTACAATCTCCTGTATTTAATCAAATTGGTGATCAAAATATAAAAGGAACTACTTAGCCTTAGTTTAAAAGTGTAGTATTTTCATAGGTGGTTAATATTTGAGTGCAGTAAGTAAGAAAAAAAAAAAAATTACAAGATACAAAAATATTCCACCCAGATCTTCATTTAGAAAGGCAAGTCAGAATATAATATTCCTTTTAAGAAATTAAATTAATTTAAAAAGTCTATATTAAAGTTTATATGAGTTTAAAATTAAATTTAAAGTAAAGTTTCTGACCACTTTTGTCATGAAAATGTTAATGTTCTCATGAATGAGAAAGTATTTTTGATAGATTCAGAAAATTCATCCTAGGTAGAAAAATATTACAGTTTACATATAAAGTTTAACCTCTTAAAATAAGAATTGCTTACATAAAATTAACTAAATGGTATCTGTAAAATGAAAGTAACCAAATAACTGAGTCAATTAAACAGATTCAGACAGTAGCAAGTACAATACTGTCGGAGTTAACTCCTCCTTCAGTTCATAACCCCTTCACCAGGGGTTGCTCTTCACTGCTATAAATAGCCGCGGACCCTTCGCCTCTATCTCTTTTTCCCTCAGGCCTGTGCGCCGACACCTTGAGGTAAATCTCTTCTTTTCCTCAGGCTTTCAGCTATCAACCTCGAAATGTAGGCGCTAACAAGGGATAGCGTGGAAACACGCTAGCACACAACACGCACGCACATACAGAATATTCACACACGCACACACAGAATATTCACATACACTTCATCTTTTGTACTGTTTCCATGTATTGTAACTTGTTATTAATATATATTTGTATATACATATATTATCGGTCTTGTGTTTTGTTTGCTTTCTTTGATTAAGTCCAAAGAAGAAGGCAAAGTCCAACCTTTTTATGTAGTTGGGCCCGGCGAGCAGGAGTATCTGAACCTTACATGCGTTTCTTCTACGTCTGATTTCACAACATCACAGCCACGGCCCTCTACAATACAAAACATTAGAGGCTCATTTTCATCAGTTTTAATTATACTTCCCCAAAAGGTTACAAACAATTCATGATTAATACAGGATTTCAAATGTTGATTTTTGAGAAAAACAACTTCTCCCATTCCACTTTCTTTAAGAGTTTTAGCAAAACTTGCTTTTAACTTACTAAATAACTCTTGTAGACTTTTTGCAAGAGTCTAGCCTATAGAAGAAATTTTTTTAAAAAATTAGCTAAACTACGAGCTGTCTGTAATGTTATTAAGCTTTATGGACTATAGAGATCAGTAGGCCTGACATAGAAATAATATGGGATCTATTTTTAAATAAATGACAGCAAGGCTTTAGCAGGAAAAGAAGACTGCATTCAGCAAGGTTTTTCAAGTGTGAAAAACAGTAGTAGTTAGACCAGATTCAATGTTGCAGTATCTATACTAATTGGCTTCTTAAAGTGTTAGTTTATGAATATGGTGATATAGTAATTGTGTTCAATTTTCTGTACTGTGTAGTGATTATACACTCTAGACAAGCAATAAGATATTTGACATTGAACTTATGAACCCAGATTTTTTTTATTTTGAGATTTTTCTAAAAGGCCACAACTGAAATTTTGTTTACTATTTATTTTCTTCATCAGTAGGAGTATATAGGTTTACCTAGTTCATTTTCCTGTTTAGCATTAATTCCTTCTAATTTCAAAATCTTCTCATTCACTTTTATTTCCAGTAGCTCCTTGTGTCTTGCCTTGCTTGGAGTAAAATGAGTGTTATTGTTCTTAGAGCAGTTTGAAATGTTTTGTGGATTTATTAAGAAAACAGCTACAGGATCAATATTTTTGAAGAAAAGTAAGTTACCCTGATCTAGATATGTCTATTTGCTGCCTGTGATGAAAACCAGAAGAAAAAAAATACAGGAAAGACTTCAGCTCCTTTTGTTTATCAATTAAAAAAAAAAAAAAATTAGTAGGGAATGAGCAAACTAATCCTAAAACTTGCTGAAGATTATTTAAGTGGTCTGTGTCCAAGCAAGTCTAGGATTTCAAGTGCAAGTAAGCCCTCCTTACATGGGCAACATTATCTTATTCTCTACATTTGGAAGTAACAAGTTTTAGGAACTCTGTCAAGGCATGTCAAATGCCTCAGGGAATTGAATGTCTCGTGTATAAGGCCACAAGCTCACCTCATTAGTGTTTCCATATCAAGTTAGATTTTTTACAGGGTGGAATTATGGAGCCTCAAATTTTTATTCATCTCCTAAACAGTTCTCTAGCCTCGGTTGACCATTAATCTATCCTGCTATTTAACCATAATACGATGAAAGAATAAATAGATGTCTACCTTTTACAAGACTATTTGCTTGAAAGCAAATGCAATGACCCCATTCAGAAGAATTTGAACATTTGACAAGTGTAGAGCAAAAACAAAAAAAAAAAAAAATAAATAAATAAATCACAAATGCTATAGGTAAGTTTTTTATATCTATAACTTAAAATTTAAACAATAGAACATTTTAAATTTTCATATTTTTTTTTTTTTTTACAACATATTACTTTTTCTTCCTAACACAATACTTGAAAATATTGAAGAGAGACACTGCTTAAGAGTTAGAATTTTAATAAAAATTAAATTTTATATATATGTAAAAAATTTAAGTTACATTTTTTATTTTTTTTAGCTGTATTTTGATATGTTTAACTCCCATAATTTACATTTTAATTTTTCCTTTGTGTAATTTTCATTGATTAGTAAATATTAGTGACCATTATATTATGGGAATCAACACTTTGGATAATAAATATTTACAGGTTCCGAGAACATTTATCCCACAAACAGACTCAGTGTGAGACCAGGTAAAAAAAAAAATTGAGTAAACCAAACACCAGTGCCCAATATTAAGAGGAAATACAGGTTTAGACAATTGTAACAAAAAGGAAAAAACATTAAAACAAATTATAAGAATGTGTAACAAGTATATGGGAGAGTGTCATCCATTGGGGGGGGAATACGTTACCCACATGTGCCTACATCTGAAAGAGAGAGATAGAGAGACAAGAATATCATTGCCTATTTATAGGCTTGAAGAGTGCCTCTGAGTTAGCCCACTTGGCCTTACTTTTTTTTGTAGAGCCAAGTAGGGTAACCCACAAGTTCATTGTTATATTTTTTAATTTTTTTTTTAATTTCAAAAGATTTAAAAATTACTGCAAGTGTCTGTATAATAAGGTTACCATTTTCTCAGAAATTTTCATTTGTGTTTTAAAAGTGCTCACAAAGTAGCAAAATTGTTAGCGCTAAATCAACTGAATTTTTTTTTTTTTTTACATAAACTTCTAATGAAATTTAGAAATATAACCATTATAATGTATTTTTAAGCTTATCACTTAATCTAAATGTTTTTCTGGGTTTTTTATTGTTTTTTTTTTTAAAATATTTTCTTTGATCTTCACATTTATACGTTTCTGACACAGTCATCACCAATGTAATTTTGAAGCGTTATCATTTCTGGGCACTTGCATAAAACATGAGATACTTTATCATTAAAGCTTAGTATAATTTTGAACAAGATTATTACGTTAAAATATATAAAAAAAAAACCTCTTAATATTTCATGATGTCGAGAAATTAAATTGTGAAAAATTTAAACATATTTGCAAAACACTCAACTTATTTATCATATTTTGCCTTTTAATTTTTAGGATAAGAAAAAGAAATTACTATGACTATTTTTTTTATTAATATATCTTCTTTTCTTTTTGCAGATCATAAAGGTCATGGTGGCAAACGTAGTGGGGACGAGAGTAGCTCGAAAAGAGAGGCATCTCTTAGCATGGTGTGCTTCATCCTCACTCAAGTCGTATACTGGTGTCTCATGATGCAACCCTCATGAATATCAACCCTTTACTGGAAAACTTTTATATACAGTGAAATGCAACAGTCATGCGTGTGTATGTATATATATATATATATATATATATATACACACACACTATAGATAATGCTGCAAAACCTTCCCCCACTCCCTGAATTCAATCTTTTTTTTCTCTATCTACCCTGCCTCATCTTTGCCCTTCTGCCAAAAAACTTATCTTCTTCACTAACATCAAATCGCAGCATAAGTGACCAGTATTCACTGTACTTTTCAAGCACACGACCTTTACCATCTCATCAACAATAGAAAAGGAAAATAAGAAAAATACAAAAGAAATTTTTAAAACCACCAGCATCGATTTTTTTTTTTTCTTATCAATGGTTCTGTTGCATCTCTTCAGAGAGACTGTGTCAGTGTCTACAACTTGAAGCCACTGAGAATTATAATAAAAAATAATAATAGTAACATGAAAAAACAATGTCTCTGTCAGCAAGTGAATGACCATCATAGGGGCCAGCTCTAAGGTATTTAAATAGCAATTACATTTACTATTAACTTATTTTACTAAAACTAACCAAACTCATAATTAAACTGATTTACCTATTACTATGTCATCAACTAAAGTTATAATAAATCAATGAATAATTAGATTGAGCCTATGAAAAACAATTTCTTCAATAAAGATTTCAGATCTTTGAGAAAATATAAGTGCATATAACTTATAATTTCTGTAATAAGTTTTTTTTTTTTTTTATCTATATCTTAAAATAAATTTAAGAAAAAACAAAAACATAAAAGGAAGAATGAATTTCAATTATTAGGAAAACATTTTTAAAGTATAGAAAAAAAATGAATGAAGTTATTTATATAATCATTGGACAAGTACATTCAGATCTAAAAAGAAATTACATTTTTATATATTTTTTTTTCTTAAATTAAAAATATAAACATCATCAATAATTGAAGTCACATCAAAATAATGTTTCTATGCTACTGCACTGATGGCATTTACTATAACAAAATAAACTTTTTTGTTTTTAAACAATCAAATTGGATTTACACTCCTCACACAAGACCCAAGAAGACAAATAATGTTTAACAGTGAGATATTACTTAAACTTCAAACGTTATCAAAACATAATTCATATGTAAACAACTATTTTTGTAAAGTAATACTGATAAACTTTTTATAAAAAAAAAACAAAAAAAAAACATACTAATATCAGTCTTTTGCAACTGGAGTTACATATGTAATATCTGTAAATATCAATGTGAAAAGTAAAAAAAAAAAAATCTGAACAGTAACTGTTAGAATCTAAAACTATATAGAAAATTCTTGAACTGCATCAAATTCACTGTTGTTAGTAACAGGACCATTGAAAAAAAAATTATATCAATTTATTACAAGTTTGATTAGTCAAAGCAGAAAAATATTACATTTTGTTTTACAGGACCAAATAGATGTGGTGCCAGGACATTTAAACTTGATGCAAGTTAAAGAAATATATGTAAAAATAAATTTTTGATAGAGAAAAATGAAAATTTCAAGAACTGAAATTTTTGAGTGAAGAAGAAAAAATCTGTACTATTTCTTTCATAACTTAGCACAAGAAAAAATGTCTTTTGTTTTCTGAAAACAAAAAAAAATTTAAGAAAAAAAAAACATGTGTGTGTTCTCAGAAAGTTCTGGGCTCTCCTGAGGCTCTAAAGTCTCACCTGCCCTAAAGCGACGAAGGTGATGGTGATATTTATACATATAAAATAATCACCATCATGATAGCTGACCAATTAACAACCCATTTTGGCATACATGTATGTCCAAAATCCCCTTTTCTTACTACAGAAAACTTAGAAAGTCAACAATTAAGATAAGAAAAACTTAATGTGTGTATAGATATAGATATGCAAATTGAATTTTTTTTTTTTTTTTTTAAATATCTATAGCAGGAAATGTAAAAACATTTTAAAAAAAAAAAAAAAAAAAAAAAATACAAAAACCCTGTTTCTATTCACATCCTACAATTTATAATCTTTGAAGAGAATCTAAAACAGGGAAGAAATTTACCAAATATCAAAAGTATGGCAGCATGAGTAAGTCCCAAAATGTAAGAGAAATTTCTTGGAAATGGAAAAAAAAAAAAAAAAAAGGAATATAATTAGCAATGATTGGTCACTGGGGAAAATAATAAATTGTATATTATATTACAAATGCTGCAGAGAAAAAAAAATTATGTTATCCCCAACTTGGTTTTAATATTTTTAAAAATACAGATGAAAAGTTGAAAATTAAAATAAAAATAAATAAAAATTGTCAGTCTCTTTCTTTCATTCTTCTGTTGTTTTTTTTTTTTTCTCTCCAAAGATTTTTAGAAGTGTTGAAATTGTTTCATTGTTATTTTTTTGTTCTAATAATTTCAAAATCCAAAAAAGTGAAAGAAAACAATGAAAGAAAGAGGTTTGAATTAAAAAAAAAAATAAATAAATAAAAAAAAATACATGTAAACCCTCAAATTTTTATCTTCCTAAAAAGGTCTGAACATTTAAAAGTTCCTGCCTTCCATTCTGCACCTACTTACATAATAATCTCTCAAGTAAATAAGAGTTGTGTGCAGATATGTAGTTTAAAAATATATATATATAATTTTTTTTTTTTTTTTAAATATAATACACACAATATATGGGCAAAAAAGCCTGTCCCCTTTGGAAGGAGAGGAAGAAAAAGGACTAAAAATTGCTCCAAGCAGATCATATATTTGGAATGTTGACAGATTTTAAAAAGAAAAAAAAAATCATACCCTAATATTCTAATTTGTATGCTAAAAAGTTTACAAATAGGAAAAGTTGAGAGAAGAAAACGAAAATTTCAAAAATTCAAACAATTTACTTCAAGATTTATTTGACTTATTTTTTGTTTCCTGATATATATTATTTCCTTTTTTAATTTACTCATTTTTCTTAATGTTTTTTTTTTTTTTAATCAGATTTGTCAGTGTTCTTCATATCCATTGCTTTTTTCTTGTTTGAAAAAAAAAAAAAAAATCTTTAAAACCTTTTCAAAAAACAAAACCAAAACTGTTTTTAGTGTTCTTACAACATTAGCAAAGAAAAATATATATATTTCAACATATACTATGATTTAAAAAAAAAAAAAAATATTCTTTTTATATCATCATTATTGAGGCATATTAACATCTCAATTATTTTTTTGCCATAAACCTATCCTTCATCATCATCTTTCCTCTCCCTATTCACAAAAATCATCAGATTTATGAATGTGTATGTGTGTTTATTATATTAAAAAAAAAAAAAAAAAAAAAGGCTCTTGAGTTGCATCCCAAAATAATACAAATGACATTTGGTTCTGATGTTTTTATGCATTTCTTCTCAGGTGTCAGATTGGCACCTGAGTCAAAAAAAAAAAAAAAAAAAAAAAATAATTTCAGGTGCTGATTTCAAAGCAGACAAACCTTTCTCACTTGGAAGATTGTGTTGCATCAGACTTAACCCCAATTCTAGATTAAGTTTAGTGAACACCTTTAACAAATTTTTTTTTTCAAATTTTGCAATGAGATTACAAAGAGAAAACTTTACTTTATTGCAAAAAATTAAAAAAAAAAAAAAAATTATTTAGATTTAATTTCTCAGATGTGTAAGTAAGAATACTGTAACAAAAAAAAAAAAATTCAAGTTGTAATCATCTTTTCAGCATGTTTATACTATCCAGAAAATAAAGGTAAAGAGTCTTTAATGCCTTCCAAATCACGTGTTGTGTTTATTCATTAATGGCTCTTCTCAAGTGAAAAGCTATAAGAAAACATCTCTTCTCAGAATGATGAAAGAAAAAATATTTTGGAAAGGTTTCTACGAGTTTTTTTTTTTTTTTATTATAAGTCAGATAAAAAGAAAAACTGTCTACATATTTAACTGGGTTGTGCAGTAGCTTTTATCATCATTGACAATAGAGTACCTATTTTAATGCCCATACATTCACTCCCCTACCAAAATACCCTCCCCCCCCCAAAAAAAAATGACACCATGCCAAGGAAAAGATCATTGTTTTAAGAACAGTCAAATAAAAGAATAGCAACAGGTTCAGGACTTTTCTTGGGCTATTTGTCTGAAACTGACTTGTGATAACAGCTACAGCAACCCCAACCAGCAGAGTCTTTTGGCTGTGTTGCAAAATGTATTTTATAAAATAAAAAAGTCATTTCTATAAAATTAAGAAATATTAGTAAAATCTTTACATCTAGACATATATTCAAACTTCAGACAGAAAAAAAACAAAAAAACTTTAAATATGACAGGAAAAAAAGTACAGAATGCATGTACACATACTTAATATATTTGATTATATTAAATCTAATATATACCACAGGTACTTAACACTGCTCTTCCATCCAATCAACTTGGAAATATTTCATTAACACATGACATTACAATGAAAATGGTGTGTCGTTATAGAATTTTTACTCCATCAAAAAAGCAAAAAAAACTGATATTAGAAATAAGTTTTTATACATTTCTTAAAATAAAATCTTTCACATTTGGAAGATTGTGTTGCATCAGACTTAACCAAAATTCTAGCTTTAAACACTAAACAATTTTTTAAAAACTTTTTGCAATGAGTGATTATAAAGAAATAATCTAAAATTATTACAAATGAAAAATAATTCCAAATGCAAAAGAACAATGCATGTACAGACGCACGCACGCACACCAATGTTAATATGCTAATGTTTGCAGATTGTATTCTGAAGATAATCTTGCATATTTACCATGAGAGAGAAAAAAAGTTTGCAGTAAATTCCTAGGTTGTCATTTTAAAAGTGTTAAAATAATTACCGTATAAATTCATTCTTAAATTCAAACTTTTTTTTTTTTTGAATACGTCAGAAAAGAAATTAAAAGAAAGAAATTTTCCATTATCAGTTGTAAGGATACAATGCAGGTACATACATCCATAACTAGAAAAAAGACAAGACAAAACAGAAGACAAAAATAGTATATTTATCTAC